TTTCTTTAATCCACATATTTTTTGGATAATTTCAAGTTATACAGTTTAATGTATGGACAGAAAACTATAGGTCTTCTTTATTCTTCTGGGCTCACCCTTGTTTCCTGTGGGCTCCCAACCCACACTAACCCGGGATCTCTGGAAAATGTGTGCTTGATCCCCCTACCCCCTCTGCCTCTTGGCATGTGGACCCCAGCACGCTTCCCGTCATTACTGCCACCAGAGATAGCATCCAAAGTTCTTAGGGCACATCTGCAGCTCTCCGGAACAGAAAAAGAAGAAATGAGGTTCTCTCTGCTATTCACACTGGAAAGAGGGAGACCTCCATTGTGAGTGATCCCCAGGAAGTGAGCCTCATCCAGGGAATGGGAAGGAGGCATAGTGAGAGATTAACCCATTCATGGATATTTGCCCAACAAATAACTGCTTAATACTCTTATGCCTAAGACTTTTCTGGGTAATGAAATTGTTCCTCTAAAAAACAAACAAGGCGAACGGCGAGCAGCGGCGGCGACGCGGAGAGGCGCAGCGGAGGTTTCCTGGTTTCGGACCCCAGCGGCCGGATGGTGAAATCCTCCCTGCAGCGGATCCTCAACAGCCACTGTTTCGCCAGAGAGAAGGAAGGGAATAAACCCAGCGTCACCGTTCACCCCAGTCGCATCATGCCGCTCATCAGTCTGCACAGCCGCGGAGGCCGCAGCAGCGAGAGTTCCAGGGTCTCCCTTAACTGCTGTAGTAACCTGGGTCCAGGGCCTCAGTGGTGCTCCTGATGTCCCTCACCCACCCCTGAAGATCCCAGGTGGGCGAGGGAATAGTCAGAGGGATCACAATCTTTCAGCTAATTTATTTTACTCCGATAATAGGCTGAATGTAACAGAGGAACTAACGTCTAATAACAAGACGAGAATTCTCAATGTCCAGACCAGGCTCACAGATGCCAAACACATCAACTGGAGAGCAGTGCTGAGCAGTAGCTGCCTCTACATCGAGATCCCAGGCGGAGCTCTGCCAGAGGGGAGCAAAGACAGGTGAGGGCCAGCCTGTTGTGTCCTCACTCCTAGGGGAGGAGGGAAACCAGAGTCCAGAGTCGGGCGGCCATCCCTGTTTTGAGTAGCGGTCTAGCAGTTTTCCGGAGATCTCCACAGGGGGCACGGCCATATTTACGGACATCTGGTTATTTTTCCTCCCCTTCCCCTGCTCCATTGAACAGAAGGTAGAAGTCACATGCAAATGAATATTTTTTTATATATGAGACATTCCCTCATCAGGATATCATAGCTTTGGGGGAGAGAGGGCTGTACTTAGAAATTTCTTTAATCCACATATTTTTTGGATAATTTCAAGTTATACAGTTTAATGTATGGACAGAAAACTATAGGTCTTCTTTATCCTTCTGGGCTACCCTTGTTTCCTGTGGGCTCCCAGCCCACACTAACCCGGGATCTCTGGAAAATGTGTGCTTGATCCCCCTACCCCCTCTGCCTCTTGGCATGTGGACCCCAGCACGCTTCCCGTCATTACTGCCACCAGAGATAGCATCCAAAGTTCTTAGGGCACATCTGCAGCTCTCCGGAACAGAAAAAGAAGAAATGAGGTTCTCTCTGCTATTCACACTGGAAAGAGGGAGACCTCCATTGTGAGTGATCCCCAGGAAGTGAGCCTCATCCAGGGAATGGGAAGGAGGCATAGTGAGAGATTAACCCATTCATGGATATTTGCCCAACAAATAACTGCTTAATACTCTTATGCCTAAGACTTTTCTGGGTAATGAAATTGTTCCTCTAAAAAACAAACAAACAGTCAGTCAAGGGAGAAAAGTTAAAGTTCCAAAAAGTGGGGGAGAGCACCGGTAACTAGTTTTCAGGAGCTGAAACTGGGAGTCTAGAGCAGTTGCAATGATTTGGGGAGAATTTCCATGCATGATGCATTTAGAGAATGCAAACTAATTGGATATTTCTGGAAATGGAGTCAAAGGTGGGGCGTAGCTGACGCTGTAGTTAGAGAAACAAGAAGGGGCTCAGATCTGGGAGAGCCTCACATACCAACAGCTAGTGTAGGTTTTATCTTTAAGGAAACAAAAGGATGGCAAAGTTTTGCATGAGGAAGATGATTCGATTTACACGTTAGAGAGACGGGTGGGGGGGTTGGGGCTGCCGAAGAAGGTGACTAAGGTGGAGGAACAGCATTTGCAGTCAGGAATACCACCATATGTTGGACAAACCACCTGAAGTGTGGTCCCACAGCAAAAGATGTGCAAGGAGGCAAGGACACTGGGAGGTCCCCCATGGCCGGCCCCAAAATGCCCAGTGTGCTGGCCAAAGACACTGAACTTGATTCCAATACCTTGAGGGGAAGTTTTTGAAGAATTTTAAACAGAGGAAAAGTGGGGTCAGATGAGCATTTTAGAAGGCTTCCTCCTTCAGGGTGGAAGGAGAAGAATTGACAGGGGCAGCCTGGATTTGGGATGGAAAACAAGAAGTCTGAGAATGGAGCTTTGGTCAACACCCACACTACAAGGAGGAAAAACTGAGGTGACACCATCACAGGGGCTGAAGAATAGCTCAGAGAGAAAGGAAGCCGAGAGAGGAGGGCACTTGGGAAGAAGGCAGGTCAGTAACACCCTGGGCCACAGACGTCAGCAGCTGACACAGTGCTGAGGAGTGGCAAAATGACTACAAGGGAACAAACCAACAGAGAAAAGAGGAGTTTATCTAAAAAGCAAAACACAGTTTTTAAAAAGATCCCATTGATATGGCATTTTTTAAGATGAGGGAAGATGAATGGTTTCATCTTTGAAGCCAGAAACAAGGGCAGATTGAGAAACAGCATTAGAGGTAGATGGTTTTCCCTTACCGGCCTCAGCTCCGTTTTCTCCAGTGAATGACTTGCTATTTCTAACATACGTCCTTAGCAAGGTCAGAAGTTCCCCCAGCCACACGATAATGGCCTTTGGTGTTCTTTCTACCACTTAATTTTTTTTCCATATTGACCTGAGTGTCAATCTATACATACTAAGGATAAATCACAGGAGGATATGCAGAAATATAGTAAAAAGAAGTTACTTGTTTTGCACATCCCTTGAGAAACTTTAAAATAATTCCTCCCATTTCTGACTTCTCATTTGTCCGAAGCAATAAACACAAAAAGTAACAAAAACACAATTTGATTAATTGGAAAACTGCATGATTTCAATTACGTCTTTTTCAAAAATGTTCTGAAATTTGATTTGATATGTAAGAGCTTTCAGAAATTTCTGTGGACATGTCGTTAGAGAAAGCCATTTGTTTTTGTGAGGATTCAGAAGGAGAAGTATATTTCAGAAAATAGATAAAATTAGACTTGACTTGGAAAAATAGTCTCTGGTCAAATGTTATTTAAAGACATTGGTCTATGGGCTTCATGCATTGGCTGTTTCTCAGGATAAATATGCAGGTAGGAGCCAGGAAGGGCATTTTCAGAGGTTGCTGTGAAGTTGGTATTATAATGAGCTCAGCCTACCCATGACATCTTTGGAGGTATGAGAGTACAGATGAGATACAGATGCTTCTCAGTTCTTTCTCATAATTTCTCTAATCTTTCTGGCAATTAAAAAAAAGGTGGCGAGAGAAGGAAAAACTCTTCAGGAGTATAAAGTGTTATTGAATTTGCAGCAGTCGTCATGGTTACCTGCATAGTTTCATTGCTTTATTAATGTGTAATTCTCTGTATTTCTGGAAATATCATTATAGTGAAACATAATAGTCTGCAGCTTCTGAGTGAGTTTCACCATGTATCTGAGACTCTGACAATGGCCGTGACGAATGTGTGTGGTTTCTGGGCCACCTGTGCACTGTTGATCTAGTAACTAGGACATCACTGTTTAGGGAAAGACGACTTGAAGTTAATGACTCCTGAGAATTTCTTAAAAGTTCACATACTTTGTTAAACAAAGTGCTTATTTTTTCCTAGAGGAAAATGGCCCGAATCTGAGTCTTTTTCTAACTAAAAGAACTTACATTTTCTGCCACTAACATTTTAAAGTAATCACTATTACTTACTGAAGTCACTTTGAGGGATTTGGGATTGTTTTTCTGATCAATTCTCTTAAAAATTATCTTTCCTAAACTTTTTGTATCATTGAAAGATTTATTTCATTTTATTCTTTCCATCACCATTTATCCCTTCTCTGCCCTCTTCCAGCTCCACCCTCCACCCCTGCAATCACCATCTTGTTGGTGTCCCTGTCCAAAATTTTTGTGAGACACTGTTAATAGAAGTTTTTGAGCAAGTGTTTCTAAGTATATTCTTCCACTGCCCAAGTTGAAGCTAAATAAAATAGTTCAGTAAATCATCTCTCAGGCCAACAGCTTATGGCAGATACTGCTAGCTGGTCCCCACATTCATTTCTCTTCTTCCTGGGCACTCGCCAGACTGTACTTCCCAGCATCCCTTGCAATTTGTTCTGACCATAGGACTCATGTGACACTGGAATGTGAGTGGAAGTTATGAAATCACTTCCAGGTCTGGCTCATAAATACCTCCCACTTAATCCTCCCACCTTTTGTTTCCAGCCTGGCCGGCCATCCTGGACTCTTGAGTAACTGGGCGGATCAGAGCCTCACTGCTGACCAGGACCATCTATTGTTGTGGAAAAGAGACAGACCCTCTGAGATGTCAGGATCGTGTGCTGTGTTGCCCTAACTAATGTACTGCTTGGCCATATTTCTGGTGTGCTGTGTTGCCTCGTGTTGCCCTAACTAATGTACTGCTTGGCCATATTTCTTGAAAGTGGGCATATAATTCTTGGGGAAAGTCCATGCTTTCCCTCCACAAGTTTTTCCTATAGCTTCTTTCATAGCCTTTAGAAAGAAACTGGCATTGTAAACCTCAGGGCCCCTAATCAGTGTTCAGTGGTGACTTTGCTGTTTTGACAGGTGCTAGAGGCCTGAATGGCAAGATTGTAGACGATTGGAAAATGTCATAGACCCTTGTGACTTATGTGCACATGGAACCAAAGGAGATGGAATTAACCTTTTCTGAATACTTCTATGTACCAAGGACTGTGTTTAGTCCTCTAATATACACTAATATTGTTATAATTAACCTTCTAGGAAACTCTGTTATTCCCATTTTACAGATTTTTAAAGTGTCATATACGTTTAATAACATCTTCATAGCTAGGGAGTAGTGGGGAAGGATTCAAATAAAAGTTTTCCTGGAACCAAATCCAGCCAAGCTTTCCACTTCACTGCTTTTTGTGGCACACACTCAGTTAACTAACATCAGTTGATCATTATGCTCTAAGACAGAATGATAGCCAGTAATAATTGGAAACATATGCAAAGAATATTTGATTATCTGTGATGTTGGGAACAGAAACTCCCATTAGATTTTTAGAAAATTATAATACTGACATGGTTGAGTTTTACCTTCTGTCTTAATTAAGATATCATAACAGTTGCTGTAACAGATAGCAAACTAATAGCACTTTAAAGCCGGTGGTCTGGGGGTTGGCAGGCCAGCTCTTCCTGAGGTCAGCGAGGGCCCCAGGCTCTTTCATCTGGCTGTTTCTGGATCCTCTAGGATTGTTCTTCATCTGCATGGTGGCAGTTGGCTTACCACACCACATCTGCATTTAATCCTTAAGAAGAGGGTACAAGAGAGGAGAGGGCAGATGTCTTTCCAGTTAAAGGCATGACCAAGAAAGTGCACCCATCACCTTTGCTCAAAAAGTTACATGGTCTTATTGCTGTCTAACTGCAAGAGAGTCAGGATATGTCATCTTTAAATGCTTGGCCTTGTGCCGGTCCTTATATTCTTACAGAAGAAGGGGACAAGAGATATTCTGGGACAAAGCAGCCTTTGCCACACCTTCTTTATCTTCCCATTTTTTATAAACATGATAATAAGAAAGAACCAAAACAGCAGTAGCAGAGAAGGGAAGGAAATGAATCAAGGAAACTAAGTAATTCAGAAATTGAGTATCTCCTTTCTCCTTAACTTCTTCCAGAACACATGCTAAAAGAATCAAGAATTTGTGCCTTGCACAAATGACTTCAAAATAGGCTGTAACTATTAAATCAGGCATTCTCTGGATAAGATGATTGCAACAAATTGAGGCCATACGAACAAAGATTGGGTATTAAA